GAATGGTTTCAGAGATACGGAGTGTTTTGTGTTTTGTATCATTTTTTGATTATCTTTTTCATTCTCAAAAACTTGCTTTTCTTATCGGAGTCTACCGATGTTTTTTCATAGATACTATTTGCAGTTATTATTTTGTTGTGGGTGAATAATTTTATAAATTTTCGTTATGCCTGTTTACACTAATATTGAATTAGCTTGCATGCATTTTATGTACGGTCGTGCAAATGGCAATGCATTGAAATGGAGGGAGGGCACTTTGTTGCTATTGATTGTTTATAAATATCATTGTTTTTTTATAATAATAAAAATTTGTTATAAACACAAAATGGTCCGTATCTCCGAAACCGTTAATTTGCGGTCATATATTTATTAAGACTTTTCTGCTTATTTTGGGTCATACTATTCACCATTTCATTTTGTGACACTTTTTTTTTAACACCCTGTATATTGTGTCCTACATTTTCCCTATTTATTTACTACTACTGGGGATATAATCGATCGATTAACTAAATTCTAAACTTGAATCGTAAGGATCCCAATTTAGTATTTTATTTTACATTAAAACCCATTCTAACCTTTTGTCTTATATTTGTCAGCCTGATTACATCTAGTGAATACTTTAAAGTCCAAAGAACTGTATTTTACTACACAAAATAGTACACATAACTCTTTTAAATATCTGATATCTATAAGTACATGTTATTATTTGTTTACATTTATTTTATGACATCCACACATGTCAAATTCTTCTTTTAACAATAAGGGCCACACTCTTACCAGACTTTGTCCTGTTAACCTTGACTATTAAAGACCTTTTATTGACTTACATGGATTTTCTACCATCTTGGGAAACTTCCTTGAGTCAGTTTTTATAAGCTCAGCTTTGTGGTAACATGTGCCATATGTTTGTAGGATCTGAACGTTGAGCTAAAAACGATTAAATCAGTTAGTAAAATATACCAACTAAATCGTTGTGGTTTGAATCACCTTTTTGGTGGATTTAAATATATTTACTGACTGAATTAATCGTTTTTAGCTCAACTTTCAGATCCTACAAACATTAGAAGACAACTAATAGACAACTAATAGAGCCAGAACTTGCCTACCATAAGCCAACATCCGCAACACCGCTGCAACCCACAATTTCGTCAGTTAGTTCAGCCGAGATAGTAAGGGAGGTTCCTACAGGGGGTCCCTCACCACCTTCAAGGGTAGAGGTACTCGTACCTAGAGAGACACGTAATGAATCCAGGTGTTTTAACTGCCAGGAAACCGGGCATCGCTTTAAAACGTGCTCTAGGCCGAGACGAAAATTTTGTTTTAAGTGTGGGCATGTTGATGTAACGGTGTACTCTTGTCCACAATGTTCTTCAAAAAACCAGAGAGAGAGTCGGCATTAGACTGGATGCAGACTCCTCTCGAGATGACAACGGTCCGAGAAAGTCCTACTCAGTACGTAATCGACTACATCCTCTCTCATGCCAAAAATGATACCAGACCTTACCTGAAAGTTCAGATCTATGGCAAACCATTTTTAGCCCTGTTAGATTCGGGATGTTCAAAGACTTATTGGCGGTCTTGGATGGGAAGTTCTTAAAAGCTGTTGTCAGTTAGAGCCCCCAAGATCTACGATGTGTACAGTTGCTAACGGTAATGAGTGTCAGGTTGTGGGTAGTTTGTGTTTTCCAATTAGTTTTAGGGAGAAAACCATGGTTTTCGATATTTTAGTTGTGCCGTCTTTACCTCATTCATTAATTTTGGGGATTGATTTCTGGTTAAAAATGAGGATACTTCCAGATTTATATTCAGGGGAATGGGTTTTTAAAACAGATGATGAAGAAACTACGCAGGTATTGGCTATTCACGATATTGATCACTTAACTTTAGACCAACGTCAGGTATTGGAGGATTTGGTGGAGCAAACTTTTGCTAAGATGGGCGATAAACTAGGTTGCACGAATGCTGTAGAGCATGTGATTCGAACTAGTTCACCACCCATAAAACAAAGACATTATCCTCTCTCTCCTGCCCTTCAACAGCATGTGAACGCTGAATTGGACAAAATGTTGGCTGATGGTATCGTAGAAAAGTCTAATTCACTGTGGGCTTCCCCTATAGTGTTAGTTAAGAAGCCGGATGGATGTTACTGTTTCTGTATAAACTACAAGAAACTAAACGAAGTAAGTTTACCCGATGCATACCCACTTCCTTTCGTTAGTTCGATATTGGACAAACTCCGGGATGCGAGGTATCTTACTACGTTGGACATTAAGAGTGCTTATTGGCAGATCCCGATGGCCAAGGATTCAAAAGCTCTTACAGCCTTTGTGGTCCCTATAAGAGGCCTTTTCCATTTTAATAGGTTGCCTTTTGGGCTCCATGGTGCACCAGCGACTTTGCAGCGATTTATCGATCAAGTTCTTGGGGAGGACCTTCAGCAAAATTACGTATTTTGTTATCTAGATGATATAGTCATATGTACCCCAACCTTTAATTTGCATATTGAAGTGCTGCAGAAAGTACTTGTTCGAGTCACCGCTGCCGGTCTTACCTTAAATAGGGAGAAGTGTCATTTTTGTAAAGCTGAGTTGAAGTACCTTGGCTATTTGGTCAATGCTTCAGGACTCTTAGTGGACCCCGAGAAAGTAGAAGCCATCGTTAGAATACCTGTTCCTCGGAGTGTCCCTGACATTCGCCGAATCGTCGGATTAGCCTCATGGTACCGTCGATTTGTACCTAACTTTTCGACTCTTACGGCTCCTTTAACTTCTTTATTAAAGAAGAATGTACCCTTTAAGTGGGACGAGACGTGTCAAGAAGCACTAGAGACCCTGAAGAACTGTCTCATTTCTGCACCTATCTTGTCATGTCCAGATTTTACCAAACCCTTCTACGTTCAAACTGATTTCGGTCTGGGTGCGGTATTGTCGCAGCATCAGGATGACGGAGAAAAGGTCATCTCATACCTTAGTAGGTCGCTGACCAAAATTGAGCGCAGATACAGTACTACCGAGAAAGAGTGCCTTGCGGTTATTTTCGCAGTCGAAAAACTACGTCCTTATCTGGAGGGAACCAAATTTTATGTTGTAACCGATCACTATAGTTTGAAGTGGCTTTTTAATATTAAAGACCCTATTGGTCGTATTGCGAGATGGGCCCTTCGGTTACAACAATATGAATTTGAAATCATTCACCGGAAAGGAAAGGATCACGTTGTAGCAGACACTCTATCCCGGTCTGTCCCAAAAATTGACCTACTTGATGAAATCCGAACACCAACAACTGACAAGTGGTACGAAAATCTGTGCCAAAAGGAACTAGAATCTCCTGACAAATATCCCCTCTGGCGATTGGAGAGTCACCAGCTGTTTAAGAGAAGCAACCCTCGATATCCTGTGTTAGAACCCGACAACGATGGTTGGTTATTAGTCGTTCCTAAGGGACAACGGAGGGAGATTATTAGGTTAAACCATTATCCCCCTACCTGCGGCCATCTTGGTATCTTTAAGACAGTTGGGAGGATCTGCCAACGCTATTATTGGCCAAAACTTAAAGCCGATGTGGCCCAATACATAAATCGGTGTATTACTTGTATTCAGTCCAAGACAGATCTAAGAAAACCTGCTGGTCATGCTCTTAGTAAAATACCTACCTCCACCCGTCCATTTCAGCTTCTGAGTATCGATCTCGTAGGACCTCTTCCCAGGAGCAGTTCAGGGAATTCTTATATATTGTCGGTGACAGACTGTTTTAGCAAGTTTACCCAATTTTTTCCTCTCAGAACGATGACAACACCCAACATTGTTAATAGATTAGAAGAGAATGTCTTTTTGATATTTGGGGCACCAAATCGTCTAATTACAGACAATGGAGCTCAGTTTAAGAGTTCAATATTTCAAGGGCTACTTAAAGAGTATGGTATCAAACACACTCCAACTGCGAATTATCATCCTCAGGCATCACCTGTAGAAAGATCACACAATACTCTGAAAGCCATGCTACGTAGTTACGTGGGAGATCATCATAAAAGTTGGGATAAATACCTTCCGAAAGTGGCATGGGCAATGAGGTCAGCACGTCACGAAGTTACCGATTTAACCCCTAACTTTATCGTGTTTGGAAGGGAAGTACAGATTAATGGTTCTTTTAATGGTAAGGTCGATGAACCTGAAGTGAACCCTCCTACCTCCCAGGAACGGAGTAATACCCTCGAAGAAGTCTTTAAAGACGTCAGTAAGCGATTGCAGAAGGCTCACGAGAAATCTGCAAATTGCATATAATTTGTGACGCAGAGTTGACAAATTTAATCTCAATGATCTGGTATGGAAGAAAAATTTTGCAATTTCTGATGCTACTAAGCATTTCACCTCGAAATTGGCTCCAAAATATAAAGGACCTTGTAAAATTATTAAAATCGTTTCCCCGTGGACTTATGAACTAGAGAGTGAGGATGGGAAAAATCAGGGTGTGTGGCATGCTAAAGATTTGAAAGCTCATCCCCCAGATCCTCAAACTTTTGACATTTAGCTTTAGTTCTATCTTAAAAATCAGGATGTTAGTATGAAAGGATGTTAGTATGAAAGGATGTTAGTATGAAAGGATATTAGTATGACAGGATGTTAGTATGTTATTATTATATTTTTTTTCTTTTTTTTTTGAGGAAGAGGTGGTGTGTTACGGGTCAAAAATTCTATCTAGAATAGTTTTAGCCAAAACAGCAAAGTGTGTAAACAATAAATAGTTTTTTATTTTTGTTATTGATTCTACTAAATTTATATCTAATTCTACCGCAGGACATGTACCATGAAACATGATGCCCCCCCCCCCTGAGAGGGGATGCCGCCGGAACCGCCGGCATATAAACCAAAGGTTTGTAATTTTACTTTTTGGCCCTATAAAATGAAAAAGATTGAATAATAAGGGTAGTATGTGGCGAGAATTGATAGGTAGTAACCGTAATCGTTTACCAGCCCTAACGTTTCCGTATCATAAGTATTTAGGACCCGGGAATGAAATTAATAGTGAAGTGCCGTTAGATTTCGATGATTACATTGCATTACAACACGATTTAGCTCATTTAAACGCCGAATCGCAACACGACGTCGAGGTAGCAGACTTATTAGCAATTCGAGATTTTTTTACAAATTTTATTACTGATGGAAATACTCATGCATTAGCTGGTGTTCTTGGATTAAGTGTAAAACATATAGTAGAAAAATATATCCTTAAACACCAATTATATCCGTTTATGGCACCAATTACTTCAACCGAAAAAAGTTCTACCCATCGAGGTCAAAAAAGGTACGCTAATATTCAACAAGAAATAAGTGAACAATATAAAAGACATAAAGTCTCAGGTGGTAAAAGTACTTGGCACGATTTTATGAGACAGTATTACGTAACAACGGACAAAGGATCCTCATCGACAACAACTACTACAAGGCCAACTTCTAGTGGTGCATATATTGCGGATCCGGTTTTAGACTCTCCCAGTTCAAGTGATCAAGGTAGCAATTTGCGTCTTAATTTATCACCAGTCGATAGTATGGATGTTGATACTGATTTGCTTGAAGGTCAACAAGGTGGAGCACGTGCAACTCAAGGTTCAAGCAATGTTGTTGCAAAACATTTATCTATTCCTAGAAGTTTAAAATTAAATGCTGTGAACTTTCATTTCAAGAAAAGTCGTATTTTTTATTCTTACGGATATGCTTTTAAAAATTTAATAAAAAAAGTTGTTGATGTTGTAATGAAGTCAATTTTCATTACTATTATTATTATTAATTAATTCCGGGTATTAATTTCGATTTTCAATTAATTTCAACTTCATGGGTAGGCCCTGTATATCCTCCGTATTACCACGGTTCGAAAGCTTCGAGATGCTCTACCAGCGCGCGCGACCATGGTGGGGTTTTCTGATGTGGAAGGGAATACATCGGCTGAACCACGTCCGAGACGGAATTAAAAATTTCACTTGCTTTGACACCGTTAAATCTAATAGTCGATTAAACGCTAAATACCTACGATACCGAAAATTTATTTCACGCCGCGAGGTAAAGTTTGTTGATAGTTTTTTTTTTGATAATTTCTTTCGTGCCCGAGACTTTAAGCCGTGCTATTTGAAACCGATTTAATTTTATTTATTCCGTGTTGAGTTAGTATTTCATTTGTTTTGATTTAAAAATACTTTAATTTATTCTTGTTAGAATACACCGTTCTTAATAAATTTCATTTTAGTTTATTTAAAGTTTTGAGCGTTAAACAATTTATTTTTTTTATTTCAATCGTAGATATAGTCGTATAGTTAATTTTTCCTACTACTGGAAATTTCCGTTAATAAATAATACATTTCATTTTAGTTTATTTAAAGTTATGACCGTTAAACAATTTATTTTACATTCGATTGTAAATATAGTCGTATAGTTAATTTTTCCTACTACTGGAAATTTCCGTAAATAATAAATTTCATTTTAGTTTATTTAAAGTTTTGAGTGTTAAACAATTTAATTTTTTATTCAATCGTAGATATAGTCGTATAGTTAATTTTTCCTACTACTGGAAATTTCCGTTAATAAATAATACATTTCATTTTAGTTTATTTAAAGTTTTGACCGTTAAACAATTTATTTTACATTCGATTGTAAACATAGTCGTATAGTTAATTTTTCCTACTACTGGAAATTTATGTGAATAAATTATACATTTCATTTTAGTTTATTTGAAGGCTTAACCGTTAATTAGTTTATTTTTCATTTAATCGTAAATATAGTCTTATAGTCAATTTTTCCTACTGCAAGAAATTTTCGTGAACAAATAATACAGTTTATTAAAAACATTATCCAATAAATAATTAATTGGAACTGTTTGGGAATTGCCTAATGTTTTGATTGGTTATATTTGTAGAATTGCGACGAGGCATTTTCTTTTGTTTTATTCTCCGAACTGCAAATTTTAAGAAAATTTAAATAGCATCATTCCCAGTTTGAAGCGGCTCGTGATTACGATCGCTTCATCCAGAGATAAGGTGTTATCCCGACTATTAGTTCATTCTATATCTAAAAATTCATTTGCGTTAGGTCTCCGTTATTTCAACAGAACTAAAATAGTATAATTCTCCTGTCTGAAACGGCTCGTGATTACGATCGTCTCATTCAGAGATAATGTGCTATCCCGGTTATTAGTTTATTTTCCGTCTGAAACCCTCATTTGCGTTAGTCTCCGTTATTGTAAGTGAACTCAAATAGTATCATTCCCCTGTCTGAAGCGGCTCGTGATTACGATCGCCTCATTCAGAGATAGTGTGCTATCCCGGTTATTAAATTTGTTTTATGTAAAACTCCGTTATTCAATTGACATTAAATAGTATCATTCCCCAGTTTGAAGCGGCTCGTGATTACGATCGGTTCACTCAGGGATAATGTACTATCCCGGTTGTTAGTTGGTTTTACTTTCCAACCACTAGTGAGTAAACCTCTTATAGGGTCCCGGTTTCAGCTCTGGAATTAGTATTATCCCGAACCTGTCTCCTCGCATTCTCTGCAACCAATATAATATTTTATTTTACTGAAGCATTCAATTACATTTGATTGTAAATAACAATTAGAAAAATTAACAGTTAATTTTTGCTACGACCGAAATAATACTGCCGAATGAAATAACAAATTGCATTTTTTTAACTCAACAACAGAATAAACAATTTAATAATAAACTTTTACTGCGACCGTGATAATTATAAGTATTGATTTAATTTTTTTTCTTTACGTCTGATTGAGACTACTCTAAAGTCATTTCCGTCCGTTTTGTTTGTTTATTTTTGTTCAGGGTTTGTACATATTACCGTGAGGGTGGGCGTTGAAATATTTAATTTATTTTTTTATTGTAAATAGTTAACCACAATATATGTGTCAATGTTAACCTGCCGTATTACTGGTTGTTAATTCCTAAATTTATTTCCCCCTTATATTTCAGCTAGTGATTAATTCTGTACCAGCCTAAGCAACGATTAAAGCCCGTTACTTGTGGCCTACTATTACCTGTGTCTAAGTAACCTTTGACCCCTGGAATTTTTCATCTCCATCTGTAGCTACCCGAGTACTTTCGACGCCGTTTCGAGAGTTTGTGGAGTAAACCATTACCAAAAATCTGGCGCTCGAGAACCGCCCGTAACCAGCGTCATTCGTAAGGAACCGTTTTCTCTGTGGCGAGAAAACCCCTTACAATGTAAACGTAGATAAAGGTGATCGAGTTTATTTAACTACACCATTAGCCTGCATTCCCAATGATATGCTTGGATTTTATATGAACGGACATGAGTTAACGACAGTCTGGAATTACGGACAGGTTAAAATAAAACATTTGAAAGTTACTGTCACTCCACAGGGTCTAAGGACAGCATTCGATACTGGCACCACCCTCTCTGGCACAGCTACGAGTGAACATTGAGCTTTGGGTTGTTATGCCGTTGGTTTAAAACAGAAAATTTATGCAACAAGTCATGTCTATGAAAGTGATCCAGCTTCCCCCATGGTTCCCACAGCAGTAAGCAATCCCAATTTAGATAATATGCTCATCAAATATTATGGAGATAAAAATCTTACTGAAAATGGGCCCATGTGTATGGGTGTACCTAGACACGTTGATATGTACGCTTGCTTAAGAATTAATTCAAATCGTTCTCTTCCACATTACATAGGACATATTGAAGGAGTTTATCAATTGGATCGTTATATGCATCGTTTCAACTTTATACCAAAAACTGGAGAAGCCATTATTAATTGGGAATATACTCCGGCATATGGATTTATATCTTGTAAAGATCATGATATTCCGTATTGTCGAGATGAATCAGATGTTTGTTATACTCAGAATATTATTGATAAAATGCCTGCTCAAATTACTACAGCTTTAACAAAAAATGGAGTGTGTAAAGTAAAACCTGCAGTGAATACTCAAAATTTTGAAAGTGGTAATACTGGTGATTTATTAAAATTTAGTGTTGATGGCAGCAAAGTCTTTGCTCCACATTACTCCGCTCCTAAAGGTCCTAAAATGTGTGTTCCTAACATTTATTTTGGAATTTTACCAACACCAGCTTTGAATCCCTCCAAGGATTCTTTAGATTTTCAAAATACAGCAGCATATTTTGCGGTCGAGGCCGAAATGGTTCTGGAATATGATTGTGACTCAGTTTTTCCTTACGAATTATCAGCTCATGGAGAAAATACGGAATTTGTTGCTTTTCCAGGAAGAGATCAATTACGTTATGAAAAATTAGATCCTTTAGGTTTTGAAACGTATGGAAATTAAAGACAAAATAAATAAATACAGTTTATTATAAGTTTTTTATTACTTTTTTCCCAACACCATTACAAATTTCCCAACACCATTACAAAATTTCAAAATGTTTTAATAATGAATATAACATTAATGGATACAATTTTTTACTGCAATCTTTTAAAAAATCACAAGTAGTCCATTGATACGTTATAACTCTATGTTTAAAGGGTGTATCATTCGGTAAAAAAGCTTTATTCGTTAAAATAATTATAGGAGAACTGAAAACAACAGAATCATTTTGATATTTAACTTTAACATTAACGGTATCACCTCCAAACAACATTTTCAACGTATCAAATGAACCTGGTTCACAATTTGGTTCATTCCATAACAGAATTCGTTTATTGACAGCTTCCATTATAAGGAAATGAACAAAATTTATTAAAATTACCAATTTGACCAAAATTAAAAAAATAATGAATTACACAATCAAAAAATAATTTTTACCAGCAGATGGAGGTGCTATAATTTGCATTGCATTAACTTTAGGAATTTTTTTATCTATAATATATAAATCTATTAAAAATATTTTAATTAAATCCTCATCATTATTGAACTGAAACTGTAAAAATTCAATAGCTATTGTTAAACTTTCATGTTCATCATAATAATATTCATTGATATTTCCTTTAACTGACGCATATAATGGAGCTACTGAAATGGAATAATCATAAATATTTTGTACAGTATAATCAATAAATTGCATAGAAAATACGTCAAATACTGTAGTTATGGTCGGATCAGAACGTCGAAAAAATTTAAATTTAGAATTAAGCCAAACAGAACTATTTAATATATTTAATAAGGGGCTTGACGGAAATTGCTTAAAGAATTCCAATAATTCTTCTTCTTTACTTCTGTTTGAATATTTGGAATTTTTTTTAAACGATTTGCCGCTTTTATAGATACCTGATCTACTAGAATGTGGAGTGGGTCCACTTTCGATGCAGTTAGAAAATTCATTCTCACTGCCGCTGCTCTCCACCATTGATTTTTTTCCAAGTTGGAGATATCTTTCGTAGGATAAATTTCCAATTTGATTAGGTATGCCCCTTGTTCTCCCGGCGATTTCAATGTATAAAAATTGTCTAGGCGGTTGAAGCAAATATTTTGTGAGATTGTAAAAGTATCGTTCGGAGAAATAATAGTTTCGATGATGTCTTCGAGATTTTCCTTTAATTGGGAGACATTGGATTCTGGAACATCGGCATTTTCCACTGGCATAGGAGCAGTCGTGGACAATGTGGGCGTGGTCCTCGTGAAAGACATACCAATATAATCCTCCTGAAAATTTTTTTCCCACACTTCTTTCAAGAAAGTAAGTAGCTTGCTCTCTAGTGATGTTTCGCAAAACGTCATGTAAAGTTCGTTCTCCTTTAATAGAACTTTGAATTCCTCGAAGGTAATTGTTGATATTGCTGATGTCGTTTTCGTTTTCTTCAGTTTCGTTAAAATTGGTAAAAAAGTCTTTAAGAGACGTTTGTCGTTGAGATATTGTTCCTTTTGGCAAACAATTACTGTCATCTCCAATAATTGAATTATAGCTTGAAGTAGAAGGCCCTGCATCGGCCATATCAATTCGAGTAAATTCAGCAGACAGTCCAGTTGACAACTTTCTTCCGTTATTGGACTCGCTTGCGGACTGTTGTGAATTTCCGACATCTTTTAATAGTATCTGAATAAAAATATAATGTTATATTCATTGTTAAAATATTTAAATACTTAAAATACTACTCCAATAATGCCTGCCTACATTTAAATCTACCATACTAAAAATAGGACATGCCTCGTAATTAATTGAATCTCTTTTGCATATAAAACAATGAATATGATGATCACTATGTTTGTGTATAAAATCACACTGTAAGTTATCATATGATTGAGAAAGCTTAAAAACAATGTTATTTTCTATTGGTGAATTATAACAATTAACACATAGTAACAGTTGGGGCTTCTCAGGCGGACTTAATTCCCCAGAAACATAAAAATGGTAATAATAACTACAATTAGCATCATCATCCCCGCAACTGAAATGGTCCAGTAAATCCTGGTGCGGGAATGACCAGGGAAAAGTAGGCTCTCCTGGTCCATCATAGGTAAGAATGGGTTTCAAATTATATTCCTCTTGAAAAGGTAATGGCAACAAAATTTTATTAAATGGTATTTCAAACGTCTGCATTGCACATCTTGGGAGATTAAATGAAGTTTTCCTTGGCGAATTTAATTCAATAAAAACTAAAACAAAAAAATTACTTACTTCTAATTCTTGTATTAAGTCAAACTCACACTCACTTTGATCTGCAGACGAAGAGACTGTATTGGAATTCATACTGTTGATTCTTTGGTAACCAACAACTTTATAATGCCGGTAAAATTACAAACCTTTGGTTTATATGCCGGCGGTATCCCCTCCCAAGGGGGGGGGGCATCATGTTTCATGGTACATGTCCTGCGGACTATTCTATCCTAAACTATCCTAAACTATCCTAAACTATCCTATCTTAATATATCCTAAACTAAACTATTATATCTTAGACTATCCTAAACTAAACTATTCTATCTTAATCTATTCTATCACTATTTTACGCTTAACTATTTACACTACTCTACTTCTACCCTAAATTATTCTAAGCTTAACTATGTACATTATTCTATTTTAGCTCTATTCTCTTTTTATACAGTGTGGAAACCACTTATGGAATAAAATTCTTTATGTCATTATTTTAGAAAATTGTAAAAAATGCCGAGACGTCAACTTTTGAATTGAGTTGTGCGTTATGTAAACATACATTTAAATGTACAGGGTGATACACGCAAGTATGCCATAGTCGGTGTTGTTTTTTTTTAATGAAACACCCTGTATATTTGCATATTTTTGAAATCCTCTTAATGAACCGATTCCAACAAACTGAATAATGTATGGTCAATTATGAATTATACAGGGTGAAATTTTTATTTTGACAGTTATTAAACACATACATAAAATACCTGATGTATTTGATTTTAATACATTAAAATAAATGCTCAAAATGTCCTCCACCTAGTTGTTGGCAATAGCACAGTCTCCTGTAGAACTCCTCCTTAACTTTGTTTAAAGTTTGAGGTGAAATATTCCGTATTTCTGTAGTTATCCTGTTTTTGAGGTCTACAATGCTAGTTGGTTGTGTTGCATATACTTTGTTCTTGAGATAACCCCACAGAAAAAATCTAACGGCGTAAGGTCTGGCGATCTAGCTGGCCACTCAATAGTACCTCTTCGTCCAATCCATTTATTCGGGAAGATTTCATCTAAATAAGTTCTTACCATTAAAGCATAATGAGGTGTTGCCCCGTCTTGCTGGAACCAAACATTTTCATTCGGTAAGCTAGGATCTATTGCGTTGGGATATAAGTTTGCCAACGCAGGAATAACTTCATTTCTAAGCATATTTGAATATTTTTCAGCTGTCAAATTTCCATCTATAAATATAGGACCAATAATATGGTCGCCTATGATACCGGCCCAAACGTTCACCTTTTGAGGGTACTGAGTATGTGTCTCACGCATCCAATTAGGATTCTCTGCTGACCAATATCTACAATTCTGTCGGTTTACCTCTCCATTCAATGTGAATGTTGATTCGTCAGAAAAAAGAATGGTACCAAGAGCTATCTCATTTCTGTTCAGCTTATTCATCAATCTTTCGCAGAAATCCATTCTACGATCTGGATCGTCTTCTGTTAACTCCTGCACAAAAGTTAATTTGTAGGGATGAAGTTTTTCTTTATGAAGACATCTTAGAACAGTTGTATGACTAACATTATTTTCACGGGCAATTTGACGTGTACTTGAAGTTGGATTCTCTTCGACACTTAACAAAATATCCACTTTCACATCATCTTCAACGAAGTGTGGTTTTCTTTTCAATGGTTTGACATGTCCAAGTTCTCTGAATTGTGCATGAATTTTAGACACAGTACTTTGTGAAATATTAGGCAATTCGGGATACCTGTGATTAAATAACTTTGCCACTTCAACTTGACTTCTGCAGTTATCCCCGTACCCGATCATCATTATAATCTCAATTCGGTGAGTCTCAGTTAAATATTTCATTGTTATGTCGACAAGGAAAGAGTGTTTGACAAAGATTTTACTTTTTCAGTATAAACTCTCAACACATCAACAACTGACAGAATAGAAAACAATCCACATTATTTACCGATGTTGTCTAATTATTGGCGTTTTTAGGCAATTTTTAGGTATTTATGATAAAATTCATGGGCGTAGCAGCTTTTGTTTAATTGTACAAATACGTCTAATAATTAGTTAGTTTAGATTTTTGATAAATCCATATTTAGCTAATTTAAAAAAGTACCAATATTTCAAGTGTAATAAATTATTAATTTTAAAATTTCACCCTGTATAATTCATAATTGACCATACATTATTCAGTTTGTTGGAATCGGTTCATTAAGAGGATTTCAAAAATATGCAAATATACAGGGTGTTTCATTAAAAAAAACAACACCGACTATGGCATACTTGCGTGAATCACCCTGTACATTTAAATTTATGTTTACATAACGCACAACTCAATTCAAAAGTTGACGTGTCTCGGCATTTTTTTACAATTTTCTAAAATAATGACATAAAGAATTTTATTCCATAAGTGGTTTCCACACTGTATATATTGTGTCCTACATTTTCCCTATTTATTTACTCCTACTGGGGATATAATCGATCGATTTACTAAATTCTAAACTTGAATCGTAAGTATTTAGTATTTTATTTTACATTAAAACCCATTCTAACCTTTTGTCTTATATTTGTCAGCCTGATTACATCTAGTGAATACTTTAAAGTCCAAAGAACTGTATTTTACTACACAAAATAGTACACATAACTCTTTTAAATATCTGATATCTATAAGTACATGTTATTATTTGTTTACATTTATTTTATGACATCCACACATGTCAAATTCGTTAAATCGTTGTGGTTTGAATCACCTTTTTGGTGGATTTAAATATATTTACTGACTGAATTTACAACTAAAAAGGTCACCCAACAGCTGCAGGTGAGTCCTTAAAATTAAATAAGACAGCTTTCTTGGCTTACCTATAGTTTATAAGGCTATTTATATGTATGGCTTATGCAAATCCCTCTTTCAGACCTCCTTTTAATTATCTGGGAACTTTCCGAGTCACCTTCTACTAAATTACGGCTCTTCCTTCTCCTTTAAGCTATCTTCGCTATCGCTTATAGCTAACCTACCGCACCTCCTGCTTAACTTGCTAGTACCAGTTCGTATTCTACAGGCAAGACAGAAGGATTTTATCAAGACTGATTACCCCAGGATCAACCCCCCTTACTAATTAGTTTCTCGTTCTATCGCCGCTTCACATCACGTCTGTCTAGGTCAGTCTTAATTAGTAAATAAACTAAGTAGACATGTCAAGTTCTAGCGAAGATGAGGGTTTTATGGGAAAAAAGTTTGATCGGGGTTTATTTAACAAATTATTGGCAGATAACAAAGTTGTCTTAGAAAAATCTAAATTATCGGCAGTTGTACAGGAGAAAAAAGAAGCGTGGGAAACAATTAGGGCGCTATATGCAAAAGGAACGGGGCATCAAGTGACGAAAGTACAGCTGACTAAAATGCTTAGTAATATGAAGACAATCGTAAAAAAAAAGACCGATGTCAAAGCCACGGGCAATAAAACAATAAAACTAAAAGTGTGGGAGAAAGATTTTTTTGCCATCATCAGCGATGAGAATAATCCAGTATTTTCTAAAGTGCCTGGTAGTCTCACCGTCGGAGTAACTGTGGATAATGTAAATGTAAGTAATCAAAACGAAGATGAAGAGGTAGATGAAGTACAAGAACAAGTGACGAAAAGATCGAAAATTGAGAAAATAAGAAAAAGTGCTAAAATTGTGAAGCAGTATGAATGCGATGAAACAAAAAATGTATCAATACCACAACTTCAACGAATCGTATTATTACAACAATTTGAAATAAATAAAATGAAATTAGAGAGAGAAAAGAAGCTAAAGGAAAGTATGAGTAAGAACTGTAAAGAAGAGTCAACTCAAACCACAGAGGAAGAAACTGGGTGTTTTATTTTATATGAGCAATTGTGAATAAATATTTTAGTTCCTTTGTGATTGTGCCTTATCTTGTAATACATCAATATTTTTCTCCAGAAGGTTTAGTAAAATTTATTAAAACTAACAAGAATTTTTTTAAAATGCCCTTTATAATAGTACTTAGTAAACAAATACAAGGTAGCGAAAAAGTGGCAAAAAGGTATTTTCGGGTAGAATAAATAGATTTTAGGAAAATCGCTCGGATAATTTTGACCTCGAGGGGGACATTTTGACATAAAAACCATCATCGTATCATTTCATCCCTTTGCTCAGCAATTCCAACCCTTAAAATTTGAATAGGGAAGGAGATCAAATGGCACATCGATTTAAAGGACGTTTAATTCTCTTTTCAATGGTACCCAAATTTATTCACCAGACCTCGATTTTTGTGCCCTTTTTAGGGTAAAAAAGTGTGGCACCTCATATGAAAGTTTATTTTCGTC